CATGAGGTCTAGATCTTTATTTGGAGGTTTAGTGTCTTTACTTATTTTTTGTCTTTTTGATCTATCTATTGTTGATAGTGGTGTTTTGAAGTTTCTTACTACGTATGTGTTTTCTCTGATGTCTGTTTTCAGAGATGATACTAGTTGTCTAATATATTTTGGTGTTCCTTCATTTGGTGAGTATATGTTGTTTTTTTTTTTATAGAGGCATGCTTTATTTATTTATTTGTTTGTTTGTTTTTGTTTATACATACACTGGATATAGTCAGAAGCACGGGAGGGTGAGAGAATTCACCAGAGCCAGAGCGGGGAGCAGAGCAGGCAGAAGGACTGAAGTACACTGCTGAGGGGAGCAGAGCAGTGGGCGGCAGGAGAGGTCTGTGCACCATGTGGGACCTTCCTCCGGTGGCCGGGGAGCAGCCGGGGATCGAACCGGCGCCGCAGAGGCCGCAGGCAACTTTGCAACCCAGCGCTCAACCGCTGTGCCACCAGGGAGGCCCTGGTGAGTATATGTTAATGAGTGTTATTTCTTCTTGAAGTATTGTCCCCTGGATCATAATGTAGTGACCATCTGGGTATCTTTTTACCTTTTTGAATTTGAAAACAGTTTTATCTGATATAAGTATAGCTATTCCTACCTTCTTTTTTGGTTCATTTGTTTGTAGGATTGTTTTCCATCCTTTTACTTTCAGTCTATTTTTATCTTTTTTAGTTAAATGTGTTTCCTGGAGACAGCAAAAGGTTGGGTTTTGTTTCTTAATCCAGCCTGCAACTCTGTGTCTTTTTATTGAAGTATTTAATTCATTTACATTTAGAGTTAAGATTAATATGTTAGTGTCTCTATTTGCCATTTTGTTTGTCTTTTCTCTGGTTTTATTTATATATATATATATTTTTTTCTTGTTTCGTTCTTATTAATCCCTCTGTTGCTTAAGGCTCTCGGACTCCTTGCAGTATTTTTTGGAGTGGGGGTTTAGTCGCAATGACATTCCGGATTTTGCTTGTCTAACAAGGTCCTTATTCCTTCCTCATAGAGGAAAATAAGCTTTGCAAGGTAGAATATTCTTGGGTTGGCATTTGTTGTCTTGGAGTTTGTTTACTATGTCCCTCCACTCTCTCCTTGCCCATACTGTTTCTTTGGAGAAGTCTGATATCAGCCTGATTGGTTTTCCTTTGTATGTTATCTGTTTCTTCCCTCTTGTCAGCTTCATTTTTTTTTTTTTGCCTGTCTTAGATTCTTGGGAGATTTGCTATTATGTGTCTTGCTGTATTTTTCCTTTCATCATGGAAGTTTGGTGTTCTTGCTTCTTGTATGTCTATTTTTAGTTCCTCGTTCTTGTTTGGGAAGTTCTCTTCAATTATTTCCTCAAATATTTTCTCTGTTCCTATGTCTCTCTCCTCTCCTTCTGGGATTCCTATAACTCTTTCCTCTATTTCCTTTCCTCATAGAGTCAGATAGTTCCCAAAAGTCTTTCTTCATTCCTTTTCCTTCATAATTCTCTTTCCTTTTCTGTTTTGGTTCTTTTTATTTCTGTGTCTTCGAGAGTACTTATTTGTTCTTCCATTTCATCAATTCAGCTTTCACTGCTTTTCCTAGAGTTCTTTAGCTCCTCCATTAATCCTTTGACCTCCTGCATTTCTTTCACTTCCCTCTTTAGGGACTCAATTTCATTCTTTTGATCGTTGATTATTTTCCCCTTATCATTGTTTTCCTTTATGACATTTTTTTTAGTTTTTCAATCATGGCAATTTTAAAATCTCTATCTGGAATGCTCAGAACTTCTTCCAAGTCACTATTGTTGCATTCTGGTGGGTGATTGTCTTTTTTGTGGTGTGTCTTTTCCTTGAGGACTTGCTTGGTTGCTTATAGTTTTTCTTCTCCCTGCTGCTTGTTTTCTAATTTGTCCTATGCGTTGGGACATTGTGTCGCTGGTACTGGCTGGCATCTTTTTGGTGTGCTCTTTCTGGGATGCCTGACACTGGTGGTCCTATAGAGTCAAAAACTGTTATGCCAGAAGTCCAGTAGGGCATTGGTACTATGAATATGTTAGTGGTCACTGTCACAGAAAATCTCCTCCTTCTGTATTTGTTTAATTCCGGAGGTGGGTCTTGTGGTCCCACAGATTCCCCTGTCCATGGCTGGATCACCCACTGGGCTCCAAATTGCTGGATACTCCTCTGAGCTCCAACTGGCGGCCAGGGGGCTTTTCAGCTCACCTTGTGGGGTGTGAGGGCTTGTGGGGGCTTTTGGGGGGCTTGTGGGGGCTTTTCAGCTCACCTCTGTCTGTGTAGGCAGCCCTTTCCCAGTTCCATGCAGTCTAGGTGGGTTCTGAACTCAAATTTACTTGTTCTAAAATGGCAAGTCAGGAGGGCACTTCCCTGCACCCATGGTTTGCCCCAGTGGTGGCTGTATCCCCCTCTGGGCTCCGACTGGCAGCTAGATGCCAGATGGGAACTGGCTTGTGTGGGCTTTTCAGCTCACCTCTGGCTGTGGGGGCAGCCCTTTCCCAGTTCCATGCAGTCTAGGTGGGTTCCAGATGCAAAGATACCTGTTCTAAAATGGCAAGTCAGGAGGGCACTTTCCTGTACCTGTGCTCTGGCAGCCAGATGGGGCCTGGCTTGTGGGGGCTTTTCAGCTCACTTCTGGCTTCGGGGACAGCCCTTTCCCTGTTCCACACAGTCTAGGTGGGTTCTGGACACAGAGGTACCTGTTCTAAAATGGCAAGTCAGAAGGGCACTTCCCTGAGTCTGAGGTCTCACAATGACAGCTTTTATCTTGACTTCGATTTTGCTCCATTCATCCCAGACTTCCCTGGCCCTTTCTGCCCCTTTCTTATAGGTCCCCACCAGAAGATGCCTTAGTCATTTTTTTTTAAACTGCTGATGATTTTTTTTTTTTATGTTAACATCATACTTTTTTAAAAAAATATTATTTTTTTAAATTTTATATATTTTTTACATCATTTTTCATTTTTGTACAATGTATACATTTTCATCTTGGTTATAGTCCCCATACAATTCCCACCCCCCTTGTTTTGATACTACTCCCTGTTTCCCCACTGTAGTGTGTCTCTGGTTTAGAGTTGCTTTTTGCTTTTGCTTTTTATTTTATTATAATAAGTCTTTTTCCTGGGCCTCCTATGGTGGCGCAGTGGTTGAGCGCTGGGTTGCGAGGCTACCCGCAGCCTCTGCAGCGCCAGTTCGATCAACGGCCACTGGTGAGGGTCCCACAAAAAAGAGTCTTTTTCCTGATCCCTAATTTAGGTTTTCTAAATTCCCAAACTGGTTTATTTTTTAAATGAATTTTTATGTGGCGTTCTTAGGATTCTTTATATATATTATCATATCATCTTCTAATAGTGATCATTTTACTTCTTTCCCTATTTGAATTCCTTGTATGTCTTTCTCTTGCCTAATTGCTCTAGGTAAGGCCCCCGGTATGAGACTGAAAACCAATGGTGAGAGTGGACATCCTTGTCTTGTTCCAGATCTCAAAGGAAAGGCTTTTAATTTCTCACCATTAAGAATGATGTTGAGGTGCCTTTGACTTGTGGTAAGCTTTTAGTCCTCCACGGTGCTGTTTTGGGCCAGCCCTGTTTGTCTAAGCATTTATCCACAATTTGATGAGTAAATTTGGGTGTTTTTTGTGAAAAGTATTTTATCTATTTTTCCCTTCTCTTTATTGCACACTGATTATATTAAAGTTGCTGTCCATTGAAGGTCTTACACAGTACAGTATGTTTTATCTTGATGGTAGAACCTATCTAGAGCAGGTAGTTTTAAGGGATGTCCTGGGGTGTCCCTTACCCTTCCCAGTAACAGCATATGTTCTTATTTGCCAGTTTCTAGTTCTACTTCATTCATTATCTTTTATATTGGTCCCATAGGTACTGGATTTTGATGCTGTTTGGAGGAGTTCAAGCTTTTTCAAAAGAGTAGAAACACTAAAGCTCTGAGGTAAATTGGAAAACACCAAGGACACAGTTGTGTCACTTTATTAGATGTTGGATTATTCACCCTAGAGGGAATATAAGGAATATAAATATATCTGCATTTTGATACTTTCTGATGATGATGATGATGATGATGATGATATTATCACTAATCTATTTCCACTTATTTATCTTTCCATGCCTTTTACCATCAGAGTTATATGATCTTGAGGGACTTCCAACTGAAAACTGGAACTTGGGAAGGGATTTTAGATGAGGGTGAAAGTCAATCTCATTGTACTGGGTAGAATAAAATTTTATAGTATAAAGTATTGTGTAAATTCATGTTATGGATGCCTTTCAAAACATTTAGAAATATTTAATACTTTGTAAACTTTGGAAATAAATAGAAGGTAAATGAAAAGGAAAATGAAAAGTAGGAAACAATTAAAAATGTGGAGGACTGGACAAGAAGAAGAAAAGCAAGGGAGCAGGTATTGCATCAAAATATAGAAATAATTAATTTGAATTACATTCAGAACAAAAAATAGATTTGAATGATAAAGTTTTCACTTAGTGTCTCCAATTACATGCAGTCATCTTGTAATAGCTACTAGGAGCAAGGGGTATAACTCAGTAGTCAGGTAAAGCTATATAACACAGAGAACAGGAAGACTTACAAAGAGGTTGCTTGTTTCTCTGACTTAGGTTTGCACCCAGGGACTTGGGGGAACTTGGAGGAGATTTGTGGAAGAGATACATGTAAAGGCATTTGGACGAAACTCATGACTGAGAGACACGTTGAGAGGTTGCCCTTGGCAGAGAAAATGGCAGCCATTATCTTGATTTGTACATTTTCCTAGACTTGCCTGACCCCTATAATGCATTTGTTGCTATTTCTCTAATAGAAGTTGCCTTAGACTTGTGGGAAACTTTCAGGCCTCAGCATTCCTGCTTCTGGCAAACCCTGTTTGACTGGATATTTGTCCACAAAAGGTTTGGTAATTGCTGGGTGGAGGGGGGATGTTATTGGAAACTAATCTATAAAATATTTTTCACATGGAGAGTCTACTTTGCCTTTATGTGCATGAATGGCTGGATCCCTTTAGAGCATGCAAGTTTGGGGGTCCCTAGGTACTCCTTGGTCACATGCTAACATTAAAAGAAGTTGAACCTAACATTTTAGAGGTCTTAATATCCTTAAGGATAGGATGTTGGTCATAAGGAATATTGCAGGCCACGTTGGGCGCCAAACTGTTGTAGAGCAACCCCGATACAAAACGGGGTGCCTGACTGTGGGTCCTCACCCGCGTGCTTAAAAGGACTTATCAATGCTCTACTGCAGGCACATGTAAAAGGTTAATAAAAAGTTTATTTACAAGGAAAGGGGAAATAAGGAAATGTACAACTCTGGGAGAAAAGTGGGAGACAAAGTTTTAAATGAGTCCTACCCAATCCGCCGATCAGAAATCCCAAAATGGCGCTCTCAGAGTTGGCCGCCATCCAGGAGCGGTGAAGCCAGGAGGCGAGCAATCACCAGCCAGAGACCCCAAGGCCCACGTGTTTGGTTTTTATATCCAACCTGGCTGCCCAACTCCACCCTCAGGTCCCAGCCACCCTCCCTTTGGTGGTGATGGGATTTGTCTTTCCCAATGTCTTGATGGCTTTAGTCTGGAGTGGGGGTGGGGTCCACAAAGCCTGTATGGGATTAACTCAGGACATCATTTCCCCCTAACAGGACCATCACAACTACATAAAAATAAATGATTACATAAAACAGGTTAGTTTCTAGGACAGTTCTGTGAAGCCTATTTAATTTACAGTATGGCTAAGACTTGAAGTTAACTATGTACAGTCAAATGGTAATGTATCATTGTTGCACACTGAAAGGGTTTGCGCGGTAGAGAGAAGGAGAGCCAGGCCAAGTTTCTCACAGGCAGGAAATTTATTGTGCTCCTGAGTGAGGTTCACTGACCCCCATGTGGGTGGGAGAAGTCACGCCCATTGTGAGGGGAGATGTCCTTTTATAGGGTGAAGAAAGGTTAGGCGGGAAGCTGGGTATGTGGAACCGAAGTTTTTTTTTGGTGGTTTCTGGTTGATCGCTATCAGGTCCTATTTGTGTCAGGTAGATGCCTCTGGTTCCAGGAGCTAAGGCAAAGGTGGAATTCCCTCTGAGGTTTCAAGGCCCCTCCTTATGCCCACGGCCTGAGGCCCTCACCAGGCCCCCTGCACCAACCTTATTTTCCAACCTCTTTGGTATAGGACAAAGGGCGAAGTATTCTTTCTGGCTACTTCCTGCTGACAAAGGGGACGGCATGGGAGGGAGGTCAAGGAATGTGGTCAGCCATGGGGCCGTTGGTGGGCAGGAACAAGAAGCTATCGAATCAGGCAAAAGGAGTGCCATATGCTCTTTTGTTGGATTTTTAGGTTCTTTGCTAGATCTGATAGCTTTTTTATGTTCTGTTTGACTATCATTTCTGTGTCTGCGGCTATGTGCCAAGGGTTGAAAGAGATATCAATGGCCTGGAGCATCTTGAGGATGGACAGAATGAAAATCCAAAAATTGTGTCCTGTACCTTGCCAGTGGCTGTGTTGACTTGGAATTGTTAGGCATAGATAGAAGAATGGGAAGTGGCTTTTAGAGATGGGATTATCAGAAACAGAAGAAAGAGAGTCAGAGGGCCTCTACTCTGTAGGCTGAGTGGAACCTGGACCAGGGGCCGCAGTGATACGTACCTGAGTTGGGCCCAAGTGCTCGCATACATACTGCTTGTCAACACGGAATTGTTTGACCCTGGACAGGTGATGCCAGGATGTGTCGCCTAAGACCTTGACAGCCATTGTTGTAGTCAGGATGATCTTGTGTAGAACTGTCCACTTTGGTTGGAGTGGTTTTGGAGAAATGGCTTTTAGAAGAACCTGGTCTCCAGGGTTCAGTGGGTTGACAGGCGCTTCAGGTGACATAGGCACAGGTTGCAGCAGATAGCGATCTGCATGTTCTTGGAGTAGCTGTCTGAGCAAAGAGAAGTATGGAAGATTTCCAGACAATGGTGTAGGTTGGACTGGGAGTTCATGGTTAGTAAGAAAAGGTCTGCCATATATCAGTTCAAAGGGGCTCAGAAACAAGGGGCCACGGTGGGTGGCTCGGATATGCATTAAAGCCAGTGGGAGCAGCTCTACCCAGGATTTATGCAACTCAGTGGAGAGTTTGTGTAGTTGGTCTTTGATAAGACCGTTTACCCGCTCTTCCTTACCAGAAGATTGTGGCCGGTAGGGAATGTGTAGTTTCCAGGTGATGCCCAGGGAGGAGGATACCTGTTGAGTAATCTTGAAATAAAGGCAGGTCCGTTGTCTGACTGGATAGTGTTGGGGAGACCAAAGCGTGGAATGATGTGGTTAATTAGGGCTTCAGTTACCACCTGTGCCATTTCTCTAGTGGTAGGAAAGGCTTCTACCCACCTGTTGATGGTGTCTATCTGTTGATGGTGTCTACCATAGTAAGAAGAGGGTGTTATCTGCATTAGGGAGTGGAACATCCATGAGGCCTAAAAGGATTGAGAGTTGAGGATTGGGAGAGGGAGATGAGATGGTTTTTGACAAAGAGTGTGGAAATCTAACACAAAAGAGGGTGTTAGATGGGAGAGAGCCCAGTTAGTGAGCCATGGAGCCGATGTGGAGAACTAACATTTACAAGTTGGCCCAGTGTGAGTTTTAGGGCCTGTCTAGTGAGGAGAGCAGCTGCTGCAAGTGTGCGCAGGCAGGGCTGCCATCCTCTTACTGTGGGATCCATTTGTTTGGAGAGATAAGCAACTGGTTGCTGGGCTGGCCTGGTGGGTTGGACCAGAACCCCTAGGGCAATGCCCTGTCGCTCATCTGTAAATAATAGGAATGGCTTTTCCAGGTCTGGGAGAGCTAAGGCTCATCTCAGAGATCTTTGCCTGGATAAAGTGGAAAAAACAGTGTGCAAAAAGAAAGAAAAGCATGATCATTATCACCACGCCTACTAGGGGCAGGATCCATGTCAGTAAGGGAGAGCTGGCCCCAGCTTCAGCTGACAAAGAGTCGTTCAGAGGGGTTTTGCTGGTCAGATGAGCAAGTCCATGAATGTGTTGTAAGAGTTTGAGACACCTGAGCACACACGATTTCTCACCAAAATCTCTCTCTCAGATCTTCAACACGTTCTTTTGCTTTCTTTTTTTCTAATACCATTTCATTTTACCCATCTTACTTTAAATTATCTTAAGGACTATAGCTGTTATACTATCACCTCTTTAGACTAGACAATTTATACAAACACATCCTTCAATTTTTGTTGAGATGACATTAAATTTTAGTTCCCTTACAAAAAGGAGCAAAAAGTAGATCTGAAAGTTAAGTTTACTTCAATAAGGAGCAAAATGTAAACCTGAAAGAAAGTTCAGTAAATGATTAACAAATTTTATTTTACTAAACTTAGCAAAACCTTAGTTTTATAAGGAATTTAGCCACCATCTAGATAATGATGAAAAGAACAAATTTAAGACAGATACCAATTGTAGCTTTTTGTTCCTATACCCAGTGATTTAATTGGCAGAGAATGGTGCCTAAAGCCTGCAACTGTCCGACGATATTAGTTTCCAATTTGGCTAAGGTCACCCTGTGGGATTTGAATTAGGGGAGGTGGTGGGGTGGATGGCTGTCTGTAGAGGATTTTTAAAAGGGGAAATTCCAGCTGGACTGACACTGTGTAAGAATCCCAAGCTGCAAGTTTCCAGGTGACACTGGATACCTAGGTATGCTTGCCGTGGGACTGATATTGATCATAGCCTAGGGCTTATTGTAATAGGAAGGTGTGTGGATTTTCCAGCTGAGCAGGTCCGTGCTGGAGTAGGACTGGTCTGTGAATAACCTGTGTCCACCTCGGAGAGTCCCATTTGGATTGTAATATACTGGTCCCCGAATCTCTCTTAAGGGGAGCCGGAGAGCCTATCTGCTCCAGACTGGCTGAGGAGGATACAAGGGGGGCCTCCAGAGTGCCCAGGCATATGGTGGTGGTTGCTCCTTATCATCAGTGGATGAAAAAACAGGTTCCTCAAGTTTTTGTGGGGTCAGGGGTTTGTCTTTGAAATAACTTGTGTTCTGATTTAAGAGGTTACAGCCAAGGTTATAAAACAGAAGGAGGTTATACTGCAACTTCTAGCCAAGGTGGCTGGGAAAGGACTATAGTAAGCTAGGAGGCTATATATAGAAATTGGTCTGGGTGACCTGGGTTGCCCATGACCACTCTGTAGGTGGTGGTGAGTGACCACAATCAGGGTAGAAGTATCCCAGACCACAGGGTCAACAGTGGAAGGAGTCAGCAGGTAGTCCTGAGAAGGATTGGGAGATGATTGGAGCAGTGGGAGGATGAGAGCAGCACTAAGGTCTTGGAACCATGTCAGAGTAGCCCTGAGTTTAATTAGGAGGTCGTGACCCCAGAGTGGTGTGGGGCAAGAACATGACTAGGAAGGAATGAACTAAAGGCTTGTTGTCCATTTGGCAAGAGATGGGGCCAGCAGCTTGAGGTTGAGAGGGTTGGCCGTCAACTCCCATAACCGAGATCTGAGAAGGGTAAATCTGATTCAGGTAAGAGGGAGGACAGAGAAGGTAGTCCCCGTGTTGACCAAAAAGGAAATGGACTTACCTGCTACCTTGACCGTTACCTTGGGCTCCTCGAAGTTTATCGGGGTTGAAGAGACCGGGCCTCTTCAGTCCTCAGCCGCCAAAACCAAGACTGCTTGTGGCAAGGACACAGGGGTGGGAGGGTCTGGTCCACTATGGCTAGGCGCAGAAGGACAGTCACTTTCTCCAGTTTCCCTGGTTGCCACAGATGGGACATGGTCCCAGCGGGGGGCGAGGGTTAGGGCAATGATTGGACCAGTGACCTTCCTGGCCACACTTGAAGCAGGGTCCTGGCAGCAGTCGATTGGAACCCACTGTTGTCCTCTGTCAAGCAGTAGGTGCTGCAGTCATTGGAGGAGCAGTGCATGACAGCCTCAAGGCATCTACTAGGGCCTGAGCTTGAAGCTCAGCCTTCTGGCAACTGTGGGTCGCTCTATCCTGTCCTGTTCCTCCCAGTTGTTATATACTTTAAAGGCCATATTCAGCAGATCCTGGATAGGGGGTTGAGGACCGTCCTCAGCCTTTATTTTATTTTATTTTTTTTAGTTTTTTTTTCTGATGTCAGGGGCTGATTGGAAGATATGAAATGGGTAGCCAGGATTGTGGCCCCTCCAGGAGAGTCAGGATCTAACCTAGTGTATTGTTGGAGGGCATCAGTAAGGCAGCTAAGGAAAGAGGCCGGATTTTTGAGGGGAACTGGGTGATCTCTCGCAGTTTGTCAAAATCAACTGCTTTATGGGCTGCTGCTTGGAGACTGGCTAAAAGTCAGGTGATGAAGCAGTTTCAGTGAGCCCTGCCCCAGCGACTTGCATCACTGTCAATTTGGTATTCCCAGCCAGGCTCCTGGCTAGGAACTGCTTCAGGGCCTGGGGCATGGTTGTGTCAGTTAAGTGGACCTGATCTGCATGGTCTTGAGCAGACCGAAAAACACATTCCCTTTTATTAGGGTTCAGGGTGGAAGAGAGGATAACCTGTAAATCATGACACTTAAGGTCATAGGCTTGGGTAAGATAATGAAATTCTTTAGTATAGGTGATGGGATTATTAGTGAAAGAACTGAGGCATTTTTCAATCTGAGAGAGATCACACAGACAGAAAGGAATGTGGACTCTTAACTACTCCCTCAGTCCCTGCCACTTCCCTAAGGGTACAGAGAAGAGGATGATCATGAGAGTGGGTGTGGTGGCTAGGAGGTGAAAGGGCGGGGCTGGATTGGGTAGCTGAAGGAGGTAAAGAAAGAGAATCTAGAGGATCAGAGAATGCTGAAGAGAGGTCCAGAGAGGGTGAAGAGTGAGAGGTCTCGAGACTTGGGAAGTATGGCAGGTTTTCAGGAGGGAGGGACGGGAGTGCAAGAGAAAGAAAGCCTGGTCATAAGGGATCTCTGACCATTTTCCATTGCAGTAACAGAAATTGTTTAGGTCTGTAAGGACTGTGAAATTGAAAGTGTCATGTTCTGGCCAGTGAGAGCCATTATCCAGTTGGTATTGAGGCCATGCAGTGTTGCAATAAAAAAATAAGGTGCTGAGGGTGTATATCTGGCCTTAGTCCCAGTGGACTGAGGTTTGAGAGAAGGCATCCCAGTGGAGTAGCTGGATCAGGCTTAGAATTGGCAGACCCCATGGCTAACCCGGCTCCTTTTCCCAACCAACAGGGGGTACAGTGTCAGGAATGCAGCATCCCACGAACCTGACCTGGACTACAGGGGGCACAGACCGGGATCATAGCGTCCCATGATTTGGTTCTGGCCTACAGGACAGGGGACAAACAAACGATGGGGATGTCTCCACCTCTTGGTTGTTGCCGAACTGGGCATTTAGTCTGGGCAGGCATCCCCAAATCCAGGTCTACGTGTAACAGGGGGTCGGCTGACATGGGCCTATGGTTTACTGGACAGCCGACCAAAACAGGGTCAGGTGAGGAGCCGGATAGCCAGAGGGGAGGGACTCCTAGAAAGGAGGGTCAGGCAGGTGACTTACCCCAAAAATGAAGGGCAGTGATGGATGTGAGGCATCTGCAATGGAGAGGAGAGGTCCCAGAGACTGGAAGGTGGCCACGGTGCCAGGGGACACAGCCTTTCTGGGTTTCAGCACCAAGATGAAAGGATTGGCATGGTAAAGAGGAGAGCCAGGCCAAATTTCTCACAGGCAGGAAATTTATTGCACTCCGGGGCAAGGTTTGCCGACCCGTACAGGGGTGGGAGAAGTTGCGCCCGTTGTGTGGGGAGATGTCCTTTTATAGGGTGAGGAAAGGTTTGGTGGGAAACTGGGTATGCGGAACCGAAGTTTTCTTTGGTGGTTTCTGGTTGATCGTTATCATGTCCTGTTTGTGTCAGGTGGAGGCCTCTGGTTCCAGGAGCTGAAGCAAAGGTGGAATTCCCTCTGCGGTTTCAAGGCCCCTCTTTGTGCCCATGGCCTGGGGCCCTCACCAGGCCACCTGCACCAACCTTACACACACATTGTATGTAAAAACTGATTCTGACATGTAAATCAGACTACCAATAGAAATAAGCATGACAGCAGTGGGAGGATATACTGCCTCCACATGTATTTGCAAGTGGATTCCCAAGATGCCATTATCAGCAGAAAAAATCATAAAAAAGATAATGAAAGTTAGGATTTGATCCCAGGAAGTAGTCCAACTTATTTACTCTATTGGAACTGTTCTGACAATCACAAATTTGAGTATAATTTATATAAATAAAAACAGTGAATTAACACCCAAATGTAATTATTCTTGAGTTCTCCTGTCCCACAAAAGTTATGCTTCTGGTTTTCTATAAGCTTATATCTTTGATTGTCAAATTTATCTTGACTTAAAAATATGTTAATGTTATCTATGTACAGAGGAGGGCAAATGCTGAGGTTTAATCACTTCCCTGATTTCTAAAGAATGCAATGTGGAGATGCAAAGACTGGATACCCATTGTTTGAATTTGTTTTATCTAATTCCTGAGTTATTAGTGGTTCTTGAAAAATAGGTCTTCCCACAAGCAGCAGATTCCTGCATAGTCTGCTTCACTATAAGCAGAGTAGAGTTTGTTCTGACTTTGAATTTTTACAGAAGATTTTGCTCTCTTACTTGATGGATCAGGGAGGGGGGAAGGTCCCAGAATGTTTACAATATGCTTGTTAATGGGAAAATGTCTAAAAATTGTCACTGGGTCAGAACTTTTTTACTGATTCTATATTCAGTCACCTGCCACCACAAAAGAGCTTTTGGTGAAGCAAAGAACAAAACAAAATTATTTATTTTATTTATTTTTAAAAATATTTATTTATTTATGCATACAAGAGCTGGGGTACAGGCCAGAGGTGCAGGGGGTGAGATGATTTACCAGAGACAGAGTGGGGAGCAGAACAGGTGGATGTACCGAAAGACACTGCTGAGGGGAGCAGTGGGCGAGACAGGAGAGCTCTGCTGCACCATGTGGGTTAGCTCCCTGGCCGGCTGGGGATCAAACTGTGGATTGCTTCATAGTGCTGTAACTTAACCCCTTGCACCACAAGGGAGGCCCCAAAATCATTTATTTTAAACAACAGAATAGAGGGAGAAGGAGAACTAGTAGGGTACATGTAGGGAGTGGAAGAAGGTCCAGTTACTGACCAGTGGAGCAAGGTTGAATTGCAGCTACAGGAATGTGGCAAGATTTGCTGTCTCTGGAATGTGCACCTGCATCACACCAGGGCAAAGTCTGCAACACACTAGGGTGGCAGGGTGCAGGAGATGTCTGCTACTGCTGATGTGAGAGTGAGCATCCTGGGGAGGGTGGAGTCCTGCTACCCAGTTGGCTGGTCAAGCAACTGCCTTACCCAGTAGCTCTGATGAAAAAGAGCAAGCCCACAGGCCTTGATCCCTTTTAGAGGGCCCCACAGAAAATGATTTCTCGGTTCCTCTCACTTCCCAAAGAAAGCCCACTCACTAAAGCATCAAGGCCAGAGTTTCAGGCCAGGGCACTGCCACAGCTGTGGTGGTGTTGCAGAAATAAATTCTAGCCTTTTACCCAGGCAGGGGAAGAAAAATCAGTACTTCAGGAATGGTGAGGTTAGGAGAAGCTTTATTACTGACTTTATTACTTTATTACTTTATTACGGGTCTACTTAAGGGTAGACCCCTAAGGTCTGAGAACCTGTCTAGAGACAAAGGGTTTCTTTTATACACAACCATCTTACATTGATAACATTGGTTAGCAAGCACAACTATTTACTGTAAAACTCCTAGACAAAGGGGGAATGATGCAGACATTTGGGGATGGCCTTTGAGAGATAGACCAGCTTGGCCAGATGTCTGACCTTGTTAAAATATAACTTCGTTTAGATAAGCTAAAAGTTAGATGGAAAGCTCTCTAAGGAAAGATTTATTAAGTAAGCGAACTTGTTATTACAATTGCATGGATTATTTACTGCACCAGGTCTACAACCCTTTAACAGGGAGCTGGAAAGATTTATTTGCTTAGCAGATCCCTTTCAGTGGTGTTCTGACATCAGGTTCACAGTTCAACCTATCATCTGTACCAGGCTTCTAAACATTTTCACACCCTTATTTTTTAAGATTTATTTATTTATACATATAGGAACTGGGGTACAGGCTAAGGTTGTGGGGGGTGAGAGGATTCACCAGAGACAGAGACAGAGTGGGGAACAGAACAGGCAGACTGACTGAAATACACAGCTTAGGAAAGCAGCGGGGGAGTCAGCAGAGGTCTGCTGCACCATGTGGGTAGATCCCTGGCTGTGGTTCACTGCAGAGGCTGCGGCTAGCTTCATGGATTGCGTCTTAACCTCTTGTGCCACTAGGGAGGCCCCACAATTCTTTTTTAAAATTGATCTGCCAGGATGGAAAAGACAAAATAAAATTAAATTAAAATTAAATAATGTGCCAAAATATATCACTGAGGTCAAGGTATAGCTTTTTGAAATTGAACTTTTGCCATTTTATAAATCAAAAGCTGACTCTCACATATATGGCTTGCCTCTGTCTGTAAAATCCTTGAGTCAACAAAGGGACAATTTGAAATATTATTAGTATCCAGGTTGAGAAACCAAACAATGTGATAACTAGGTAATAAATCATTTTGCAGTTCTATGATCTTCGA